CATTTGTATTAATTGGTTTGGAGTTTCAAGCTCTTACCCTTCCTTTCTTTAAGTTCTATATGGGCTCCTGATGTCAATTAATTCACACTGTGACACTCCAATACCTGACCTTGTTACAACCAGAAGTCATTCAGTAAAGGAGCACATGGACACAAAAATGCTTTGGCTCATTTCATGAGCACAAACAAGATTACAGACCAACAACACAGCAATATAAACTGCTAATATAGTATGATATATAGTAATAGAGTCATGGTACTAGATTAGAAGATGTGGTACAGTAGATTCTGGGTCTTCAGTCACAAGTAACTCTTACACTATCCAATTATTAAGATGGTGATTATCAAGATTATGAATGGTTTCAGAGCCAAATTTTAGAAAAAAAGAGCTATTACTTAAACTTACCATAATACAGACAGTCAATATAAGGATGTGATAATATAAAACAGGTAATGTAGTAAAAGAGTTAGAGGCAGTCACCCAATCAGTCTCCTCTCTTCCACCTGTACTAAGTGACTACAACTGCATGAGAGCCACCAGCAGTTCACAATACAGAAATTTCTAATTCCAAGTCATTGCCACAGTAACAAGGTCCATCATCTTCCAGTTTGAGAAATTCTCATTGTCCCAGGTATGGCATCATCATCCGGATCCTATAGTGTAGTATTTCTGTAGCTGTAAGGCAAGGAGGTATAAGGGAACCAATACAATGAAATACGTAAAGGCTCTTGCTTTCCGTCACTATCCTGAGCAGTATAGGGACAAAATTAAAACAGAGCAGCATAATGTGTTTAGCTAAAGATACTGCAGTAAGGAATGTTTAAAGGATGCAGTAAGAGCTACTATACATTACTGGAACAATATGCTCATCTCTGTGAACAACCTCCTTCCACTCTGAAAATATGCTAAAAAGGATATACATGGTAACAAATTAGAAAATGCTGTAGAGAGGATTCAGGATCTTCAGTCATGTTTCTTTAGATACATACACTATTACCTTACCAAAGGATTTCCAAAATGCTACTTGTCATTGTGGCCAGAACCAAGTCTTTCAAATGCTGAAATACCAAAAGCTAAACCTGACTCACTATTGGACAATATTTAAAGTTGTCTTAGATCATAAAACAAAATAATTTTAAAATTATAAAAAAATTAGATAGTAGTAAGAAAGAGCACCATATTGGAGGCACACCAACATCAGTAGAGTAGCAATCTCATGAGAGAAGGATGAGTCTATGACTGACTGCTCTCCCTCTCAAGGAATATGGTCTTGATCTGAACATGCAAGGAGTTTAGGGATGCTGTATGCTTGAGGAATGGATGGTGTCCTCTTGATCTTCCATTAAACTGTGTACAATAATGTGGTGCTCCCTTTTCAGTGGTTACATACATAAATCTCTGGAGAACTCCTGGTGTAGTTGTAAATACGTAAAATACATGTATCTTGATTACTTATCAAAAAAAGCTACTCTGTGTACATGCTCCTTTAAAAGTACAAATTAACATAAGAAATGAACATATTCCATTCCATAAAAAGACTTATGGTTGTAACAGTAAAGTTGTATCACAGTGCTACGCGCCTTGGTATATGATTGATAATAAAACTACCGTAAAATCACATGTACATGTACAATAGAATTACAGTAACAATTACATGTATAAGTACATGTACATTACTTACAATTGTAAAAGCATTCTTTCTGATCTGACGTAAGTCATGTAATATACCCAGGAATGCTGGATGCTGGAACTAATAGAGAGAGAGAGAGAGAGAGAGAAAGGATAATCATAACTTTAATGTTCATGTACATGCAAATGTACATTGTAGAGTACCTCATTGACTGATGATGGCCACCTAGAATATCTTTCATCTTCCTCAATATTATTAAAACTAAACAACACAAACACACAATAATCACAAATCACATCAAAATAGGGTATACCCAAATTTGGAAATGCATGTAGATATACGTGTAACTTCAAAAACTTAAAAAACAATTTTGATCAGAAGAACCTCAAACTTTCTACACAAATACATGTACAGTACATGTATCAGGAAGAATTTTCTCCTTTTCATTTTAGGCAAAAATTGGCCAAAAACTGTGTTGTAGTATAGGGTTTTTGGCCTGATTTTGGAGCAAATTTTGAAATTCGTAAAAAACCAAACTTGATTGGAATCACCTAAAAATTTCTACACAACATTAAAACATGTACTGTATATGCATCAGGAAAAAAACCAAACAATATTCTCTTAGCAATATTTGACAAAATTTGGCTTGAGACCATGTATAGGCACTTCAGCCCAATTTTTCAATAACATTAAAAATTCTTTAATAATCCAAACTTGATCAGAATCAGTTTCAACTTTCTACACAACATAAGAGCATGCATATGTATCAAAAAATTATAAAAACGGAGAATTCTCTCTTTTTAATTTTCGATGAAAATTGGCAAAAACCGTATACTATAATAGTACAGGGAATTTGGCTCAATTTTTTAATAACTGTCAAAAATCATAAAAAACAAACTTAATGAAAATAAGTTCAAACTTTTTTACAGAACATACATGTAAGTACATGCATATGTATCAGAAAATATGATAAAAATGGAAAATTCTCTCCTTTTCATTTTAAACAAAAGTTGGCCAAAGTCCCTGTACTACAGCTCATGGTCACATGATGTCATACTTACCAATACTGACTCATTCCTCATATCAACAGCAAAGGTGCTGTGCTGTAGATGGACTGATAACGACACCATCTGAACAAAATATTTCAACAAAATTCCCAGCCCCTCAAGCCCAGACAACAGTCTTGACTCTCTCTTAAGATAATCTAAAATACTATAAAATGGCATGGCTAGTGGTTGCTATGACTACAAAACCACACCTACCGGAAGACGTTCCTGTCGTCTTCTTGAAGTATGAGTCCATTCAGTAGCAATACACTGTCACCTGGGCCCACTCCTACTTGCTGCAATACCACTGATTGTAAGCTATCTCAGTTTCTACATCTCTTGATACAGGGAGTTTAAATAGAGTTCTACAGGGAAAGAGATTATTTTTAAAATGAATAAAATATAACATTAATAACAATGAGAATTATAAATACTCAAGTGAAGAGCTTCATTGATTAGTGTAGCAGCATATGGGGATTTTTTTGAAGCAGGTCTTGATAAAATACAGTAAGGTAAATCTACCATATAGACAATATACATGTAAATGCAGATCCATAGCACAATAAACTGCATTTCCGCACCGTATTCAATAAAAAGTAATGAATAAAAATTAATTAAAATAGTTTAATACCTAAGGCCACTCCAATTTGATTCCTTGTATCCCATTACCCACCCGCATGGGGCCGCATCGCTATTCATTATTGCGGTTTTTCATTGATTATACAAGCAATTTATACAGCTGATAATGAATAAATTTAATGAAAATGAACAAACCCGCCCGCCCGCATCAGGCCCGCCTCTGTAAGGGCTGGTTCACAATATTACGCTAGTCCTGACGTTATGTTGACGCTGGAATCGAATCTGGATCGATTCCAGCGGAAAGCATGCGTCAAAAGGTCAAATCGCCCACACTTTTGATTAAAAATTGACGGTACGTTGGCCTAGCGTCATATTGTGAACCAGGCTTAATGGGAAACTATGAATCTTATTGGAGTGGCCTAGCCTCAAGTCAAAGCGGAGGCCGATCCCATTGTCACCGTCACTCATTGCGCCTTTTAACTTGACGGATATTGGGGGGACTGAATGACCAGTTGGCTTCCACTCTAGTCTGAAGAAGACTGACAACCAAGTGAATCAGTGGTATCTCTGAGTGAACCAACAAATGATTACATGCCCTCCATGATGCAGTCAATGATATGATGTGACCACGTGGTTGTCATTAATCACGTGATTACACCCAGAAAGGGTGTGGCTAATCCCGATGCCGTCCATTCCATGTTATCAGTAAGCACCTGCTGTATGTACAAAATATTTTGTATGTACATAGTGTTGCATATACACAGAGGCATCTCTTTGCTTTTTCCTCTAAAGTTATTAAAACAAAAGCACAAAATTACACACACAACACATAAAATAAAAAGTGCATATGAAAAATAGAAACATATAATAATGTCATTGCTCCTGAAATCATTATCTTGTTCATCTATCTGCTAAGGAATAGAATAATAAATTATTTTGATGACTGATAACTTATGCGAAGCAGCAATCTTGTCAGCTACTGCAGAAAGAGCAACATGTTCCTGTTCTTTTAGTATAGAGAGGAACGTACTAATTGAACAGGACAATATTCAATTAATGATGTAATAACTCATCATACTGAGAAGCATTAATAATTTGTACCTCCTTACAACCATTAGCTATGTCACGAAACATTGCTTCTGTAGATGAAAGAAAACATTTCAAATCATTAAAATGCTTCTTCATGTCTTTTTGAACCAGGATTAGCTAAGACCTAATAATTAAAATTTTATTGGAAACTTTGTACAAAGCATAAGGATATCAATGTGTATCAAAAATGTAATAAAAATTTGGGGTGATTTTGAAGACATTTTTGGAAAAATCCAAATTTTGAGATTTTATTGAAAAAGGTCTTAACTCGAAAAATTGAAGTCGGAATCAGCTGAAACTTTCTACACAGCATAAGGACATCAATATGTATCAGAAAATGTAATAAAATTTTGGGGTGATTTTGGAACCATTTTTCAGAAAAAGTTCCTGCACTATAGTACAAGGTTATTATGCAAATTTCACCAAAAATGAAAAGGAGAGAAGTCTCTGCTTTTATAATTTTTTCTGATACATATACATGTTCTTATGTTGTATAAAATTTTTGAACTCATTCTAATCAAAATTGAATTTTTTACAAATTTTTAAAGTTGTTAAAATAAGGCAAAACATAAAAGGACCAACATGTACATGTACAAACACTGACTGTGTCTCCTAACCTTGTTGTATTGGTACCAAACACACAGCTGTACGAGAGACCAGAGGAGGTGGGGGAGGGGCAGGATGACAAGTGGAATAACGTACCTCAAGATACTTTGAGTCTCTGGGAATGTGTCGGGTAAATGAAACACATATTTTCTATCAACACTCTAAATAGTGAGAGATATGGAGATAAAGGATTACATGTACATGTACATACCGTATAGCGGGTAAATTTGGAGGGGATAAATTTTGGCGAATTGCTAAATTTTGGTAATTGGCGGATTTTAATTTTGGCGAATTTGTGGCCACGTGCCATTGAGCATGCGTATAATAGCTCAAAATGGCGGGGTTTTATTTTGGCGAATGGCTATCAAAATGCCAAATTCGCCAAATTTAATCCCCTCCAAAATTACCAGCTATACGGCATGTATATTATGTTTGATTTTGGTCATACATGTAACTCAAAAATTTAATCAGAACCAGGTCAAACTTTTTATGTAGCATAAGTATATAATAAAATTTGGGGTGATTTTGAAGCCATTTTCTGAAAAAAATGATTGGCTATAGCCTTGGGTATTTTTCAGAATCTCGGTAATTTCTTAAAATGGCCGTAACTTGAAAAATCGAAGTCAAAATCAGCTCAAACTTTCTACACAGCATAAGAACATCAATATGTATCAGAAAATGTAATTAAAATTTGGGGTGATTTCAGAGCCATTTTTTTGGAAAAAACCATGGGCTATACCTTGGGTATTTTTCGAAATCGCGGCAATTTCTTAAAATTGCTGTAACTTGAAAAATTGAAGTCGGAATCAGCTCAAACTTTCTACACAGCATAAGGACATCAATATGCATCAGAAAATGTAATAAAAATTTGGGGATGATTTCAGAGCATTACATTACATTACTTACATTAAATGCATGAGAGTCTTTTAAAGCTACAAGCTCCTACAAGAGAGAAAATGAAAGAAAGGATAGGAGGAGAGAGATGAGAACAATAAAGTATAAATATACTACTAACTGATAATAATCCACCATCACATTCTGTCAATATGTTAAATAGTTAAATAAATAAATAAATAATAGGATTACTATGGTAGATGCTCAATGACACTGGTCACAAATTCATGCCACCAGTAATCAGTTCACAATTTCACTAAAACTCATGTAATAGTATACATGTACGTGAACGTTTAAATTACCTCAGCTGTTATTTTGCTGTCTCCATCATTTTCATCACCAACTTTCTCTCTTCCCTGCACATAAAAAGTCCATGCATCATGATCTGTCAGATAAGTGTCAGTTTCAATGCCGCCATATTGAGGGTTAAAATAACAATAGATCTAATTGCCCCGCCCAAAATGAGCCCCTCCCTTGTCTAGGCCATATGCCAAGCTTGCAAGGGCCTTAAAGCATCCGGTTTAGCTTGTTCTTTGATCAATCATCAATGGCAACCAAAACTACCGGTAGTTCTTGTTTTTTTTATCTGAGTCTCTTCTCTTCTCCTTTGACTATTGGTAATGTTCATTAACTATCTATGTATCATTGAATATGATTTTAGACCAACTTATTGATGTTGTGGATCTATTGGAAAGATGTGCATTCCCTCAGACAAGATGGTATGAGCTGGGACTTAAACTAGGACTACACAAGAACACACTGGACGTAATTAAAGGAGACAGTGATGCAACTTATGAGTGTTTGACAGAGTGTCTCTCCAAGTGGTTGCGTAGAGCTGATAATGTTGACAGTAAAGGAGGAGCTACCTTTGACTCACTGTCAGATGCTCTTAAATCTATGAATGAGAATGCTGCAGCTGACAAGTTAGATCAAGAGAGTAAGTTAACATCACTGACTGTATTAGTATTGACTGTGTGTGTGTATTCTATAGAACGTAAAGCTAAGGCTATTGATATATTCAACACTCATCATCCACTCCTCTCTCAGTCTCTCTCTGATCCTGTCAGTGTAGCTATTATGCTTCAAAGAGAGGGTGTCATAACAGGACAAGTATTGGCTAGTGTGGTATCAGTTAGTCCCTCTGTTCCTAATCAATGTGAAGTCCTGTTAGCTGCCATTATAGTAGCTATTCAAAGCAAGTATAGTTTACTACAAACATTTGCTAGTGTGTTGTGCAAGTTCACTGGTAATGTAAAACTAGGAACAGTTATACAAAGAGACTATGGTGAGTCTATTACATTTCACATAATAGCTGATCATAACTTGTTTCATAGACCAATCCTTTAATGATGATAAGAAGCTCATTAAAGTTGTTATTCCTGATGATGATATGAGTACTGATACATTAAGCACTGGAGCAACTACACCGTCCCCTATTCCACCTAATACATTCAGCTGGTAGGTATAATATTGTTAATAAAACTGTAATTTATTTTCATTTTGATAGTTCAGATAGCCATTCCTGAATGCATGAGTGATGAATTCACTTCAATACAAACGTCTTATGGTCGAATGTTGTACAATGTTCGTAAAATAATGAAGAACAAGCAACCACCATTAGATGACATCAAGGAATATCTTTGTTGCTGTCGGAGCAGTCTTGAGCCAAAGCTGTCTTTGTGTTCTAATATCACTGAAATATTACGAGTAGTAGAGAAAGAGTGTTCATTAATCAACATCAGTCTACTTCAATCATTGGTTGAAGAATTTGAAATTGAAGAAGCTATAAAATACATCACAGAATACAAAGCCATATTAAAAGAGTTTTGTCGCACAGTAAAGATTACACTTTGCTTAAATGAGAAGTTTGAAGCATTATCTTCTCTTCAATGTGAAACAGTTACATATGTCTTTGACTGGGAACCAGATGAGCACATGCTACAAGATATCAAGAAAATTATTTCAAAGACATCTGGTAAACTAGTGAAAATAAAATTCATCAAGGAAGGAAACTCCATCATTGTCACTTGCTCCTTCCCTCACTCTCTCACTGGAGCTCTCATTATAAAATTGAGTGAAAATCTTGAACTATTAATAAAGAATGGTCTAATGAAGCTTACTGTTGGATACTGCACAATATGGAAGAAGCAAAAGATACAAGTATGTGTATATATACTATCAGTAATTATCATTATATACTGTATTATAAAGGAAATACAGGAACCACTGGAAGAGGAGGTACAGGAGATAAAGGAACAACCTCATGATACAAAGGTATAGTGCGTGATTTTGATTATTTTATTAGTATAATCAATAGAGACAGAAAGAACTTAAAGAAACTGCACAGCAACTAACAAACATACTTAGTGAAAAAGAAAAGGTACTTGTTTGTTAGTATTACATGTATAGGAGGAATTAATACCTCAATGTATAAGAGCTTATTGTTGAAGTGTGTTGCTATATATTAGCATTGCTTATTAATGAATTATTAATCATTGCATGTTTCATTATAAAAATAATAATGTACAAGTAGGAATTGAATAAAATTAAGAAAAAAATACAAGAGCTGTCATCAATAAAGAAAACTAAGGTTAGTGATAAATTAATATCAAACATTGTGTATAGTAAATTTTATTTTGAATTTATTGACACTGCAGTACATTGGAAAAATTTGGTGGTGCTTAGTATTAGCGATCCTATGATTGCAATGTATTGGCCATTATGTTAGCAGATTTATACAGCCAGATATTACTGAGCATGCTCAGACTATAAAAAATAGGAGATTGTATTTTGGCAATTTCATCATTCATTTATACCAATCCTCAAAGTAAAAATCCAACAGTTTTTCTCACTATTATACTGCCATACAGTATCACTAATATTTTATTATAGTGGATACAAAATTATAAATCACAATTACATGTAGTTATTAGTGTATAGTGTAATTACTTAGTTACTGATAGGAGGATCAAAATGAAGAGGAATGTACACTAGTAGAATTAAAGGAAGTAAAACAAGCAACCAATGATTTGGAAGAGAAACTACAAAGTAATTATACACAGTATCACATGTAATAGTACCTAACATTGGTGGAGTATCATGTACAAAGTCAATAAAATCCAGAATGTGATAGTGTATTGAAATGACTCATAATGAGTGGTCCACTTGTCACCTTTATCATGATGTAAAATGTTGAGTGCATTAATTATTTTAGGAATGAAAAAAGAATATGACATTAAATTTTGTACAGATTCTACTTCAGGTCAGAAGTTTATTATTTTATCATAATTTATCGTTATCATAATATTGCAGCATCATACAAAATCATAAAGGGAATGAGAATGGAAATAGAACAAATATTAACAAATAAAACTGGTACTAAATCATAATGTATGTGTTAGTGTATTATAATTATATATGATAGGTTTACTGGATCAGAATGAATCATTAATAGATATTAAGAGAGAAATAGCTGAACTACAAGAAAAGATATCCGTAATGAGTGTACATATACTAAATAAAAGAGAAGAGAATGAAGAATTGATGCATAAAATAAAAGGTACAATTTATTAATATTTTATTAGTAATGTACAGTGTCACTGATAGATTATGAAAGAGATACAATGAAACTGGACCAGGAAATATCCAGTGAACAGACACT